AGAGTTTTTATCATAAATGGATGCTGGATTTTGTTGAATGCTTTCTCTACATACCTGGTATATTGATATGATCATATGACATATCTTTCATTTATGCGATATTTCATTTTTATTTATTTACAAATATTATACCAACCTTGCATCCCTAGAATAAATACCACATGGTCATGGTGTATGATCTTTTTAATGTACTGCTTGATCCGGTTTGCTAATATTTTGTTGAGGACATTAGCGTCTATGTTCTTCAGGGATATTGGCCTGTAATTCTTTCTTTGTAGTATCTTTCTCTGGTTTGGGATTAGGATAATGCTAGCGTTTTAAAAAGAGCTTGGAAGTCTTCCCTCCTCATGAATTTTTTTGGAATACTTTGAAGAGGGTAGGTGTTAGTTCTTTTTCGAATGTTTGGTAAAATTTGCCTCTGAAGCCAGCTAGTCCAGGACTTTTGTTTGCTGGAAGTTTGTTGATTACTGCTTCAATATCATTAGTTATTGTCAGTCTATTCAGGTTTTCTGATTCTCCCTGATTGCATTTTGGAAAAATGTATGTTTCTAGGAATTTGTCCACTTTGCTCAGGTTGTCTAATTTGTTGGCATTTAGTTTTTAGTAGTATTTCTTTTTACAATCCGTTGTATTTCTGTGGTGTCAGATGTTATTTCTTCCCTTCATTTTGGATTTTATCTATATAGGTCTTCTCTTTGCTACTTGATGAGTCTGGTTAAAGGTTCATTAATGTTGTTTATCTTTTCAAAGAACCAGCTCTTGGTTTCACTGATCTTTAGTAGTATTTTTAAAAGTTTCTATGCTATTTATTACCACTCTGATCTTTATTATTTCCTTTCTTCCTTACTCTGGTCTTTTCCTCTTGTTTTCTAGTTCTTTTAGCTGTAGGGTTAGATTGTTTACTTGAGATTTTTCTTGCTTCTTGAAGTAGGCCTGTAATGCTATGAAATTCCCTCTCAGGACTACTTTCACTGTGTTGCATAGATTTGGGGTTGTGTGTTTATTTTCATTTGTTTCCAGGTAATTTTTGACTGACTTTCAGAAATGAAGGGAGGGGGAAAGATAGAAACATCAATGATAAGAGAATCATTGATTGGCTGTGTCCTGCACACCCCCAACTGGGGATTAGGCCCACAAACTGGGCCTGCTCCTGATCGGGAATCAAGCCTCCTGGTTCATAGGTTGACCCTCAACCACTGAGTCACATGGGCTTGGCTGTTTCCAGGTAATTTTTGATTTCTTCTTTTGTCTCATTAGTAACCCATTCATTGTTTAATAACATGCCATTTAGACTCCATTGTGTTTGATTGATTTTGAGGGGTGTTGTTTTTTTTTTTTAAATTGTACCTGATTTCTAGTTTCATGCCATTGTGATCTGAGAAGATGCTAAGACTTATTTTGTGTCCTAACATGTGGTCTATTTTTGAGAATGGTCCATGTGCACTTGAGAAGAATATATATTCTGTAGCTTTGGGATGAAATTTTCTGTAAATATAAATCAAATCTATCTGATCTAGTGTGTTGTTAAATGTCTCTGTTTCGTGGTGATTTTTTGTCTTTAAGATCTATCCATTGATGACAGTGGGGTGTTAAAGTCCCCTTCTATGACTGTATTGCTGTTGATATCCTTCTTAAAGTCTACCAAGAGTTTATATGTTCCTATATTTGGTGCATGTGTTTACAAAGGTTATATCTTCTTGTTGTATTGATCCCTTTAGTATTATGTAGTGACCTTCTTTGTCTCTTTTTATGGCATTTGTTTTGAAGTTTGTCAGATATAAGTATTACTATCCCAGCCTTTTTTGTTTCATTTGTATGGAATATATTTTCCATCCCTTCACTTTCAGCCTGTGAGAATCTTTTGTTCTGAGGCAGGTCTCTTGTAGACAGCATATATATGGGTCTTGTTTTCTTATCTATTCAGCTACTCTATGTCTTTTGACTGTAGCATTTAGTCAATTTAAATTTAAGGTCATTATTAATAGGTACTTACTTATTGCCATTTTTTTCTTTATGCCTATTATCCTCTTTCTATATATTTATTTTTCTTCATAAAGCAGTTCCTTTAGCATTTCTTGAAATGCTGGTTTGGTGGTAATGAACTTCTTTAGTCTTTTGTCTGGGAAACTCACTTTATCTTTGATTTTAAATGATAGGCTTGCTGGATAGAGCTGCTTGGTTGCAGCTTTTTATTACTTTGAATACTTCATGCCAATCCCTTCCAGACTGTAGTGTTTCTGTTGAAAAATCAGCTGACAGTCTTATGGGAACTCCATTGTAGGTAACTGACTAGCCCTCTATTTCTGCCTTGAAATTCACTGTCTTTAACATTTGCCATTTTAATTATGCTGTGTCTTGGTATTGGTCTCTTTGTTTTTATGTTGATTGGACTCTGTTTTCCTGAACTTGTGTGGTTTTTTTTTTCACCAGGTTAGGGAAGTTTTCTGTCATTATTTCTTTAAACAGGTTCTGTAGCCCTAGCTCACTTTCTTCTCCTTCTGGTATCCCTATGTTGTGTATGTTACATTTCATGTTGTCTCAAAGTTCCCTTAAACCACCATCATTCTTTTTCGTTTTGCTGCTTTGATTGTGTGCGTGTGTGTGTTTTTTTCCTACTTTGTCTTCCAAATTGCTGATTCGATTCACTGGCTGTTTATTCCTTCCAATATATTCTTTATTTCAGATATGGTATCTTCATTTCCGACTGGTTATTTTTCATGGTTTCGATGTCATTTTTCATGCTGTTGAGCATCCTAATAACCATTACTTTGAACTCTGTTTCTGATAAATTGCCTGCCTCCATCTAATTTAGCTCTTTTTCTAGAGATTACTAGCATTCTCTCCGTTGGGACCTATTTTTTTTTTGTCTCCCTATTTTAGCTGTCTTTTTGTGTCTGTTTCTATGGATTAGATAGAACTGCTATGATTCCCAGTCTTGGTATTGTGGCCTTCTGCTGCAGGTGTCCTGTGGGACCCAGTGTTGCAGCCTCCATCTCCTGAGCTGGGTGCTCTAGGAATGTCTCTTGTGGGATTTGGCCCTGGTTCCAAAGCCATCAGTTCAATGACCATCTGAAAGCCTTTCTATGCTATCCAGGTCTCTGTTGGATGCAGCCAACAGTCCTTTATGCAGGACTTGAGCTTTGAAGGGAGGTGTCACCAGTATTTGGAGGATGGGGTTAGTGCCCTTTCCCCAGCTGGTGCTGTAAGAATAGAAGTGCCTGACCCTGGGAGATGGTGCCTGTGGGCAGTGGGGGATGTTGACTCAGGACTGGGACATCAATAGCCAACCCTCCAGATCTCTGGAGCTATGCTACCCAGATCTTCTCTTTATAGCTTTTAAGTCTTCTTCCCTCTGTGAGAGCCCTGGGTAAGTGCCCAAGAGCAAGCTCCTGTGCAGTGCCCCTTAGGAGAGCACCTGGGATGCTAGCAGGCTTTCTTCTCTTCCCAGCAAAGTCCCTGCTTATTTTTGCTGCCAGATGCTATGTAGGCTCTTCTTCCCAGCCCTGGTGCTCTGATTTGGGGGTTCTGGCACGAGGTTGAGACCTCATTCTCCTTAGAGAGGACTTAAATATTTTTATTGACTTCAGAGATGAAGGGAGAGAGAAACATCAATGAGAGAAAATCCTTGATCATCTGCCTCCTGCACGTCCCACACTGGGGATTGAGCGTACAACCTGGGCATGTGCCCTGGCCTGGAATGAATTGTGACCTTCTGGCTCATAGGTTGACGCTCAACCTCTGAACCACACCAACCGGGCCTGGGGGTAAACTTTTGCAGCCACAATAGCCCTCTGGTTTCTCAGCCACTACACCTGGGTGCAGGGACCAGCTCTCTTCGTGTCTCTGCCCTTCTTACCAGTTTCTTTGTAGCTTCTTCTAGCAATCCTTGGATATAATACTCCTGTTCAGGTGTTTTTCAGTTGTTTTTTCAGGTTGATTGCTCTATATTTTTGGCTGTAAATCCAGGTTGGCACATGGAGGAGGTGTATATAGTTTCTACCTCCTCTGCAGCCATCTTTGATCTCCCATATTGTTTTACTCTTAAAACCCTAATATGCAAATTGACCAAATGGTGAAACGACCTGCGGAATGACCAGTAGGCAGTTGGTGGGGTCTGAGAGTGGGTGGTGCCAGGCCAGCCAAGGTGGGTGCCAGTGGGTAGAGGGAGGCAACTGGTGGCGGCAGTGGCGGGGGATGGGGGCAGTGAGTGGGCAGCGCCAGGCTACCAGCCAAGGTAGGTGCCAGTGAGGGCCACCCTGATTGCCCCCCAAATTGGCCTTGATTGCTGGCCAGGCCTAGGGACTCTACCCTATATACTGGGAACAGTCTCTTAGATTTAAAAACTAAAACCAGGCAAGGCTACTCTAACACTGAAAAAACAGGATGCTGCAGCAATGACATGCATGGATTCTGGCTTGCATTTTGTGGTCAGCCCTGATTCTGACACTTATAACTGTGTGACAAAGCCAATTACTTAACTTCTCTCTGCTTCAGTTTTTCCTCCCATAAGATAGGGAAAATGGTACTACTGCCTCGGAAGGATCATGTTATGTACTACTTTTTATAATAAGGGCAAAAAAATGTAGCTGCCCACACAACAGCAAGATGCCTTTCACCTGTATGAAAAGTATGGTCACTGGTGCATGCAGCATCCCAGGTTGTGAGAGGGATGTCCAACTGCCAGTTTAGGCCTTTAAACCGGCAGTCGGACATCCCCCGAGGGATCCCAGATTGTGTGAGGGCACAGGATGGGCTGAAGGAACCTCCCCCCCGCCCGCCTGTGCACGAATTTTGTGCACTGGGCCTCTAGTAGTAGTATAATCCCTCCTCAGGCAAACTTCCAAAGAAGTATAGTTTCCAAACTCAAAGCAAATTAGCTTGACTAAATATCCAGCAATGATATGTTCTAGCATAGTATTTTTCAAGCTGCAATCCAAGAAATCAATGCAGTTTTCATTATAACACTTTAAAAATGAAATTATAGAAAATAGCATACACTGCAGTATTAAAGATAATTTTTATGCACGTGTGTGTGAGTGATAACTGGTTGTCCAACAAAATTCATTACTTACTCGGGGGGGTGGGGTGGAGGTCAATGTTTTAAAAAGGGTAAGGAAGTCATAGGTTAACGGATTACTTTCACATGTTTTTTTTCCATTAAAAACAAAACAAGACTTAAACCTATACTCACAGAACACAATACACTTATTAAAAACTTTGGAAGTGTACAAAATTAAAGTTTGTATATCTAATCCAAGGTTTTAACATGGGTATTATCTTGCAAGGTAATTTCTTTCCTTTAATAAATAACATAATGTACATATTATTCTGGAAGCAAATCATCTCCTAACTCTTCATCAGCAAAATCATCCTCCTCCAGTCTTTTCTTGGCTGCAGTCTTTGGTCTTTCTACTTGAGGGCCAAGTGGATCCACATATGAGGCATCTAGGTTCAAAACAGATAGTTACATTAGAATGAATATATATATATATATATATATATATATATATATATATATATATTGCAAACAAACATGAAGCCAGTTAGTCTCATAATCAAAACTGTGAGAACAATGCAGAGTGAATAGAAATGCTCTCCCAAGTCATTTCAATTCTCTGTATATATGAAATTCTTAATGCCCAATTATACATTTTTTGCCATTTCATCAGCTTTCAGACCTGTTGTACCTGTGGGGCTGGGTGGGGAACATGGTCACTTGCCTATTTCTTTGTGACTGCTACTTTCATAAGGCTCGTTTGTCCCGGGTAAAGCTCTGAGTTTGGCACTTAGCTGTTCACCTTTACTATTGGCACTACAGTTCTGGCCACTATCTGAAAACACAAAAATAAAAATGCATTTGTTTAACATGTTGAGAAAACAATACTACCTCATGAAGTTAAAGCATACTTATTTGCCAAGGTTGTTTTGTTTGAAGCCAACTTCCAAGGGATATAATTCTCTCTCTCTTTTTAAAAATATATTTTTATTGATTTCAGAGAGGAAGGGAGAAGGAGAGAGATAGAAACACCAATGATGAGAGAGACTTACTGATCAGCTGCCTCCCTCACGTCCTCCACCGGGGACTGAGCCCACAACCTGGGCATGTGCCCCGACCAGGAATCAAACTGTGACCTCCTGATTCATAGGTCGATCCTCAACTACTGAGCCATGCTGGCTGGGCAGTTCTCTCTTTTGTAATCCTTTTAGTTTTAGTTTGCAAGCCCCTCTCTCCTGGTTTGGTCTGGTCTAAACTGACAATGATAGCGCATTATTGAGTAAGATTATAGTCAATCCCAAGGGATGTAATTCTTATTATCTAAAATTTGCCGAAACCGGTTTGGCTCAGTGGATAGAGCGTCGGCCTGCGGACTGAAAGGTCCCAGGTTCGATTCCAGTCAAGGGCATGTACCTGGGTTGCGGGCACATCCCCAGTAGGAGATGTGCAGGAGGCAGCTGATTGATGTTTCTCTCTCATCGATGTTTCTAACTCTCTATCTCTCTCCCTTCCTCTCTGTAAAAAATCAATAAAATATATTTAAAAAAATAAATAAATAAAATAAAATAAAATAAAATTTAAAAGAAATCTCCTGTTGGAAATCTATAATATAGAGGAAACATCACTTAAAAGTCTTTATATGTATTTTTTCAAACGCGTGCTTAATTATAGGTTTCAATTTTACCAATTCACTTGTGAAAAGTTAGAGACTACTTTGCCAAGTTTAATCTGGCAAAGAACAAAGCAACTGGAGAAAGAATAGGAAGTGTTAAGATCAATATGAGCTGTGTCATCAACCTCATATCAAGGCAGCTGAGTGGCCCTAAAACCACATCGAATAGAAACACACACACACACACACACACACACACACACACACACACACACACACCAGAAGAGACTGCGCAAGCTCAAACCAGGTACGAGATAATATAGACATACAATCCATTTTCTTCAAACATTTGAAGAATATTCATATAGAAGAACATTAGGTTTGCCTTGCGTAGTACAATCAATTTTGGCTCAATATAAGAAAAAACTTGAAAAGGATGATAGTGTCTGAATATGGAATGGCTGCCATGGGAAATAATGCAATTCACATCACTGAAGAATTTCAGATAAAGTTGAACACTCATATTAGTAAGAAATATTAGTACTACTTTTGAATCTTAAATCTCTATTGTACATTTTAAAAGAACCACTCCTCCAGTCCCACAATTTTTATTTCTTCCTCTTAAAATAACCACAATATTCTTTTTTTTTTCTGTTATGAAAGCTTCACTTTCAATGAGAGTAGTCCACAGATATGCTCTGATCATTTCTGAATATACTTTATATTTTAGCTTATTGACAATGTCAATAAATATGCTTCAAAACAAGGTGGCCTTTAAATTACCCACATTTTAAGGCTGGTCAACTGAACCAAAATTATAAGTCCCCTCTGGGTTCTTATAAAAAACTTACCATTTCCCTGCATTGTAGATATTATTGAAAATAAAATGCAATGAATGTGTCAACATATTTTATTTTGTTCTTCTCTAACTTTTTTGGTACAATTAAGTCAATTTTTTTTTTCCCATTTACAAGTGCAAATGGGGGTCTTTCAAAGTGCCTGAGTGATCTCAGCTAAAGAAAGTTTGAAAACTATTGCTCTGGGCAATATTGCTTTCACTTCACTTTTCACACAGATATAAGCTATCTATATGAATATAACAAAAACCCAACATATCTCTCAGGCATCCAAAGCCTTTCTGAAATCCTAATGTATAATTCCAAGACTGAAGGACTACAGTCCCATGGAAAGAACAAACTCTTTTTTTTTTTTTTTTTTAAGAACAAACTTTTAAAGATGAAAAGTGGCTCTAGCTGGTTTGGCTCAGTGGATAAGCAGCAGTTCTCAAACCTGTGGGTCGCGAACAATGAAAATACATCCTGCATATCAGATATTTACATTACGATTCATAACAGTAGCAAAATTACAGTTATGAAGTAGCAATGAAAATAATTTTATGGTTGGGGGTCACCACAATATGAGAAACTGTTTTAAAGGGTAACGGCATTAGGAAGGTTGAGAACCACTGGTAGAGCATCAGTCAATGCACTGAAGGGTCCAGGATTTGATTCTGGTCAAGGGCACATGCCCAGGTTGTGGGCTCAATCCCCAGTGGGGGGCATGCAGGAGGCAGCCAATCAATGACTCTCTCTCATCATTAATGTTTCCATCTCTCTCTCTCCCTCCTCTCCACTTCCTCTCTGAAATCAATAAAAATATATATTTTTTAAAAAAGATGAAAACTGACCTCCTCAGAAACTTTAATTATCCAATTGAAAAGCCATGAATAGAATTGTTAAATATTTTCTATTATAAAGACCACTAAGGGTATAATGTGAATATCTTCATTTCATCATTTTCATAAATTTTCATGGAGTAACATTGCCATACATAGGCAGGTAAAAATGGAGCAATATTTGTAAGTTGGGGTGGGTTTTATGTCCAACCAACAACAATTACTATTTCATAGAGGGAAGATAAAAACAAATAGGTTCAGAAAATTGAACTGTAAAATCAATTTATCTGAATTATCAATCAATTAACACTTAAACTTCCAAATGATACTTTTATTTTATAAGAGAAATTATCTTAAAATCATAGAATTTAGAGTAACAAGGAATCTTGAAACTTACCTGTACCAGTAAAAAAGAATATCCCTATAAAATGTACAATGTATACGAAGAGATAATTCCCAAAGTAAAATCAAAGATGGACAAAAAACATATAGAAATGGTTAACCTTACTTAACTTTAGAAACATAGTAAGTTAAAAAAAACAAGCCAGAACACTATATACTGAATACCTTTTTAGAAAGCTTAAACACAAGCAAAATGAATATACTGTTTGCATACATGATAAAATTATATACGAAAAGGCAAGAAACTGAAAAATGTAAACCTCAATACATATCCTATCTAATAATAGACAAACATGGTAATTGACCATACCTTCGCTACGCTTCCCATGGGCTAATCAGGGCGATATGCAAATTAACTGCCAACAAAGATGATGGTTAATTTGCATACGTAGGCACAATGCTGGGAGGCGAAGGGGGAAGGACGGAAGAAGCCGCCTGCCACTGACGGTGATCGGAAACCCAGGCGGCAGGCAAGAGCCAGGGGCCGGCCCTCTACCTGGTCCGCATTCCAACCATGACCCTGGAGGAGTTTGCAAACGGCGCTGCCCAGTCGGACATCCTGATGCTGGAGGAGACCCACAACATCTTCCTGTGGTACACGGTGGCCAACAAGACCCCACTGACCAAGAGGCGAGGCCTGGCCCCGCAGAGGTGCCACCGCTTCGAGTCCTCAGCCTACCGCAGCAACCAGTGGCGCAACTGGGGGCGCTGCAACAGCATCCAGTTTTTGGTGGACAGGAGGGTGTTTGTGGCGGGGCTGGGCCTGTACGGGTCCAGCTCCGGGAAAGCCGAGTACAGTGTGAAGATCGAGCTCAAGCGCCTGGGGGTGGTCCTCGCCCAGAACCTGACCAGGTTCATGTCCAACGGCTCCAGCAGCACCTTCCCGGACAGGTTCGAGCACCCAGTGCAGGTGGAGCAGGACACCTTCTACACGGCCAGTGCCATGCTGGATGGCAGCGAGCTCAGCTACTTCGGGCAGGAGGGCCCGACGGAGGTGCAGTGCAAGAAGGTGACCTTCCAGTTCCAATGCTCCTCCGACAGCACCAACGGCACCGGGGTGCAGGGCGGGCAGATCCCTGAGCTCATCTTCTACGCCTGAGGCCGTGGGCGTGCAGGCGCTGGGGGGACAGAGGGCCACACTCTTTCTCCTCAGCAGGACAGGCTTCAGGACTCCTAACCTTTTGTGTGCAGCTGGCTGTATCCAGAGGTATAAATGAGACATTTCTACATGGCCAGAGCCTGGTTCTGAATACAGGGGGCTGGGCCTCATCACATCTCCGGCACATTGGGGTACACACTCTGCTGGTGGCCGCCTCTTCCCTGCCCCTGTTCCCCCTTCACTCCCCCCCCGACCAGTGTTTGGAGAAGTACCTGTATTTTTTTTTCAAAGTACCTGTATTTTTAATAATTTCTTGACATGGTAAAAGAATTTTACATTACAATCTAAGGGTAGTGGGGTGAGGAGAAGGAGCAGCAGAACAACGCAACAAAAAAAAGTGAAACAGAAATGCACGGTGGAAGGGATTTGCAAGGTGGGTAGGGGCATTGCCCAACTAAAATGCAATTGGTTTGTTACTGAGTACTATTCATGGGAAGACAGCATCGTGACTCCTTCTCTATACAGCATATTGGGAGTAAACATGATGCATCCAGGTGGAAATATGATTAGGGGTTGGAAGACAGACAGGGAAAGAAGTCAGAAATAGACACTGAGAGAGTCACTGGCTGGCTGGATGCAAATACTGACTCTCCAGTAGTGATAGAATAAAAAAGTGGGGGATGTCTCTGGAAGATTCAAGAGATAGGGGGCAACTCTTCTATAGTTTTGACTTGCCCAACAGATTTCCACAAACACACGTGTACACACCTATGTTTGCATGCATACACATATACACATAACTGACTGCCCTCCCTGGAAGCACAGAAGAAGAAGAAGCCACCCACCTTTGGTCCAGGCACCAGTGCCTGTAGCTGGCTGCAGCCCAGGAGACAGACAAACCACCCGCCCGAGGTCCCAGGCTGCCAGGCTAGAGAAGCTGCCAGCCCTGTTGTCCAGGGCGCCAGCGCCTGTGGCAAGGGAAATAGGTTCCCTCTTCACCTACTGCAGTCATTACTTCAATATTCCCCTTATAAATTTCTCTCCTGTGCTGCAATCCAACTCCACTTTTCATCGGAAGGATATGGAACAGAGAGAGCAGTGTTAAAAGCTTACATTTTTAAGCCGGTAAGATTGGTACTTAAACATATAAATGGAAAACTAGAGTCCTTAAGGTAACAAAGGCTACAAAGGACAGGGACAGCGCATGACCTATTATATCCAGCAATCCATATGGGGACTCAAAACTTTGCAAAGATGACAATTACAGAAGATATGAATCAACTAAAATAGTTGACAGGGACAATTCTTCCATCTTTGAAAATATCTACATCAAGGGAGAAACCAAGATGGCGGAATAGGTAGGCACCGGAAATTGCTGCCTCCCACAACAACTACAAAAATATAACTAAAAGAGAAAACGGACAGCATCCAGAACTACAGGAAGGCTGGCTGAGTGGAAATTCTACAACTAGAAGGAAAGAGAAAAGCACACTGAGACTCAGAGGAGGTGCGGAAGTAAAGTGCAGAGGTACGAAGGTGTGCGCGGAAAGGGCTGGCAACTGAGGACGCGGCTGTCTTTTTCAATCGGGAGGGAGTCACAAGCCCCCGACTGCTCTGAACTCCAGTTCCGGGAAGTCTCTGGGGACCCAGACTCATACGGGGAGAAACTGGAATGTCTGGCAGCGGGCAGAACAGGGAACTAGAGGGCAGCTTTCTCTCAGAGGTGCTAGCAGCGATTACCGGAACACTGAGACGCGGGGCCTCTTAGGGCAGGGCTGAGGATCAGCCATAGCTGTTTGCTCTGCCCTGTTGATTCCCTGAGATTCCGCCCCAATCAAGCTACGGCAGAGGCTTTTTCATAGGAATTCCCTGGCCCTTTGCAATCTGAAAATTACCTAACAAACTGCAGCTGGGCCAGACAGACCCAGAACTTCCAAGAGAAGGCACAAGGCCCCACAGCAGCTTGCACTGCTTCACAGCTGGGCCTCATCTGGGCACCTCCAAACTCCAAACAAGGAAGGGGAATTTGCAGATCTCTTTGTAGCTCCTGCTGGGTAGCCTCAGGCAGAGGCTAAATTAGCACCTCCTTAGAACCAAGAGCCAGTGCACCTAGTGGTCAGAGTGAGACCATCCAGATTACAACTCCTCAGATCCATAAGGGACACACTCAGGGGGCAGACTCAGTGAGCACCAAAGCCCCACTGAAGCAAGTCTTGCCCCGGAGGGGTGTCCAGCACAGAAGTTCTCCCACCGTAGACAAGGTTGATTCTCACAGCCAATTGGCCTGGAGGTCAATTCCTCCCAGTGATACCTACTACAATCAAGGCTTAACTACAACACGACTGTGCACAAAGCCCACAAAGGGGTGTACCGAGAGTGTCCACCTCAGGTAATTGGGGAGGCTGAGCCACTGGGCCCTATAGGACACCTAGCACAGACAGCCACTCTATCAACACAGGAAAGCAGCCAAAATAGAGAGATAAAGAAACAGGTCACAAATGACAGAAATGGAGGAAAGCAAACTACTGGATATAGAGTTCAAAACCACGGTTATAAGGTTTTTCAATAATTTTCTAGAAACCGCCGATAAATTTAGTGAGACCCTGGAGGATATGAAAAAAGACCAACTAGAAATTAAGCATACACTGACTGAAATAAAGAATAATATACAGAGATCCAACAGCAGACTAGAGGATTGCAAGAATCAAGTCAAAGATTTGAAATACGAAGAAGCAAAAAACACCCAACCAGAAAAGCAAAAAGAAAAAAGAATCCAAAAAAATGAAGGTAGTATAAGGAGCCTCTGGGGCAACTTCAAGCGCACCAACATCCGGATTATAGGGGTGCCAGAAGGAGAGAGAGGGCAAGATATTAAAAACCTATTTGAAGAAATAATGACAGAAAACTTCCCCTACCTGGTGAAAGAAATATACTTACAAGTCCAGGAAGCACAGAGAACCCTAACAAAAGTAATCCAAGGAGGACCACACCAGGACACATCATAATTAAAATGCCAAGTGCAAAAGACAATGAAAGAATCTTAAAAGCAGCAAGAGAAAGACAGTCAGTTACCTACAAGGGAGTACCCATACGACTGTCAGCTGATTTCTCAACAAAAACTATGCAGGCCAGATGGGAGTGGCAAGAAATATTCAAAGTGATGAATAGCAAGAACCTACAACCAAGATTACTTTACCCAGCAAAGCTATCATTCAGAATTGCAGGTCAAATAAAGAGCTTCACAGATAAGAAAAAGCTAAAGGAGTTCATCACCACCAAACCAGTATTATATGAAATGCTGAAAGGTATTCTTTAAGAAGAGGAAGAAAAGGTAAAGATAAAAATTATGAACAACAAATACATATCTATCAACAAGTGAATCTAAAAATCAAATGAATAAAAAATCTGATGAACAGAGTAAACTGGTGAATATAATAGAACCAGGGGCATAGAAAGGGAGTGGACTGACAATTCTTGGGGGGAAAGGATTGTGGGGGTGCAGGAAGAGACTGGACAAAAATCGTGCACCTATAGATGAGTACAGTGGGAGGGGTAAGGGCAGAGGGTGGGGTGGGAACTGGGTGGAGGAGAGCTATGGGGGGAAAAAAGAGGAACAACTGTAATAATATAAACAATGAAGATTTAATTTAAAAAATATCTACATCAAGTCTGTTTAAATAGATTTTCATCTGCATAATATAACACATTCTGACAAGATCACCACCACCACCAATGTGGTCCAATTTGTGCCGTTAAATGTTTAATAACTAAGGGACCCCCCCCCAGCCCGAGTGCACAAATTTTTCTGCACCGGGCCACTAGTCCTATATAATAAAAGCCTAATATGCTAAGTGTCTGGTCGACCGGTCGGCCATTCAACCAAAGTGTAATATGCTAATGATATGCTAAGGCCGCTCAACAGCTCACTATGATGTGCACTGACCACCAGAGGGCAGACACTCTGACTGGTAGGTTAGCTTGCTGCTCAGGTCCAGCCAACTGGGACTGAGTGAGATGGGCCAGACATGCCCTGGAGCCCTCCCGCAGTTCCTCCCCAGCTGGCCAACCTCCCGTGTCCCTCCCCGGCTCCGATTGTGCACCGGTAGGGTCCCTCGGCTTGGTGTGTGCCCTCTCACAATCCGGGACCCTACAGGTGATGTTGGAGAGCCGGTTTCGGCCTGACCCCACAGGCCAGGCTGAGGGAACCCACTGGTGCACAAATTCATGCACCAGGCCTCTAGCCTATATAATAAAAGCCTAAGTAACCATTACGGCAGAATGACTGGAACGACCGGTTGCTATGATGTGCACTACCATCAGGGGGCAGATGCTCAATGCAGGAGCTGCCCCCTGGTGGTCAGTGCACTCCCACAGGGGGAGCGCCGCTCAGCCAGAAGCCAGGCTCACAGCTGGTGAGTGCAGCTGCCATGGTGTTGGGAGCCTCTCCCGACTCTGCAGCAGCAGCAGCAGTGGGCCTGGTTGAGCATGAGCGGTGCCTGGTCCCAATTCGGGCTCCGCCCTGGCTGCCTGACACTTTGGTACTCTGCTACATCCCTCAGGGGATGTCAGACTGCAGGTTTAGGCCGTTGGACATCCCCTAAGGGGTCCCGGACTGTGAGAGGGCACAGGCCAGGCTGAGGGACTCCGCACCCCCCACCCAGTGCACAAATTTCATGCACTGGGCCTCTAGTAAAATATAAAACTCATAGTAGTTATGTGTGAAAGAAGCAGAAGACAGAATGTACACAGGTAGGTATAACAGTAATGTTCTGGTTCTAATGTTTTATGATGGCTTTATTAATTTTAATTTTATTAATATGCTTCATGACAGCATTATACAGATTCTTTTGTAGATATCAAACATTACATAATTTAAAATTCATATAATTCTAAATTTAGGATTTAACATCACCTATTAAAATGACTAAGATTAAAAAATATCAGAATAGCAAGTGAAATGAACAAATTTTCTAAGATTTGGTAGTATATATCAAAAGACTTAAAAGTTTTCCCGTCAGCAAGATAATGGAACAGGAAGCCCCAGACGTTGTTCCTTTACAAAGACATTGCCTATGGTCCAAAAGCCTTCACGAGAACTCCAGAAAACAGTTAGGATGCTCAAAGGCAAGAACAACTTTATTGAAACAGGTAAGAAAAGCAATTTTATTTCAACTATGTCAGCTCC